ACCGATACTTGGGATGTTTGCAACGTCCAACCCACTCCCCCAAGGAACACCACAAATGCATTCCTAGCTAGCTCCACACTTCTACATTACTTCATGTCCCGTATTGACGTGTTTTAAAGTATTTTAAAGCCTTCGCAAGGGGTTGACACGGACAAATGCATCTAAAGAACACAAAAAGGTAGGTACATGGGGGGGGGTGGCATATACATATATATATATATATCTGTGTGTGTGTGTGCGTGTGTGTGCGCGTGTATGTGTGTGTGGGTGGGGGGTGGTGTGTGTGTGTGTGTATATACACACACATAGCTCTATTTCTCTCTTGCATGCACAGAAGCCAGCTTTGTGCTAGGAGCGCGGCAGCTGCGGGCCTCAGCGTTTCAGCACAGGCGGCCGCCGTGGCGGCGGTAGGCGGCTTGCTCCAGAGTCGGAGATTTGAGATTCAAGATTTGTGGGGCCATTGTGTGCCCGCTTTTCGGTGGACTTCAGAAGAACGCAAGATTTTGCCACGCATAGCACACAAACTGAGAAGGCGCCGCAGCTATGAGTACGCTCCGTACTGCGCAACACCGAACACGTTAATCTAACCTGCGACTTTATCCACGAAGGCCTGAGCAGTATGTGCAAGACGCGTACAACCCGCAAGCAGAGATCACGGCAGCTGCTCCGAGTTTTGATTGTCCAGGTGCTGAAAGTCCGCGCTCCCAGCTGGCCATTGCGAACATGCTGGCTGGCAAGTTGGGAGCAGCAAACCAACCAGTGGCAGGAATCTAGGGAGGACTCTGTGTGAAGGGTTGACATCCAGTGAAGCTGTAACAGTGCAGAGTCAGCATAGGGATCTGTAGTCTCCTAGGAGTGACGGGTAGTATGTCGCGAGGGCCTTTTGAGCTTCGGACACTGCATGTTATGTGCTTTGCATGAGATTCAGCAGCGCTGCAGCAGCTTCCGCCACGCCCAACATGGACATGTGGACCGGAGGTGCTCGTGTGAGTTGAAGTTGAGAGACGGCGAGGGTGAATATATCATTCAAAGCAACGGACGTTGTCTGCTTGAAATGGCTTCGTTGCCATGGCAGAAATCTGCGTCATCGCAACAGAGATATTCAAAAAGGCACTGATTGCATGAAGATACTTGTGTCCGCAAAAAAAAAAGAAGCTTATGTAAAGCAAAGCCTGGCAACGAGTGATTCAGTGTATCACACAGACCTCTATGCAAATCCAAGTCCTAATTAGAGAAGCCGTGTATGCCCATGATCGTGTCAGCGGCAAGACTTCACACGGAAATTCTCCAAGCGTCAAGTCGGAATCACACCCGCAAGCCCCAACATCCAAAGCATCCTGATAGGGTTCGGCTATGGAGAATCCTACAGCGACGACGAGGAAAGGTCATGGGACCCGGAAGCCACCAGCGTCGCTTGGCACTTTTCATCCAATGTCTTCCCACCGTAGAACGGTACCGGCGACTGTCGCTGCCGTGGCGACTGCTAGATTATAATGCCCATCTTCAAGTCCAACTTGCATGCAGTAGGTAGTGTGGGCTTGTCTACATACGGGAACCAACACTGGGAGCTTAAAGACTTTGAGGTTGAAGATGACTTTCATCTTTCATCACACCTGATGTAATATGTCGGGGTCATGCCCGACCCCCAACAAAGACTGCAGAACTGGACAACTCGTCTGCGCAACATCCCTACAGCCGTCGTCGACTTGGCAAATGCTTCGGTCCGATTTCCCTTCGCATAATTTCTGACTACGAGAAGACGCCGGTCTTCAGTACTTTACTGTCACACTTGCTGATGGGACTTTCGCTTGTCAGAGGTCTAGGATGACTCAGATGTTTCCGGCTGTAGCTCGAGGATGTGACGGCGATACAGACTTTGCAAGCGTGGTCAGGTTTCCTGTGTTTGTTTGAGGTCTGGGCCCTGACGAATACGGCGGCAGTCCCCATAGTAGCCCTAACCTAAACCCTAAACCGTCAGCACCGAAACCCTGAACCGTTAATATGTAGCTCTCAGGGTGCACCGGACACCTCAACCCCGTTACCTTGTCAAAGGCGTTTAGTGGAGGAGGCCCCGGATCTTCGAAGCCTTATAACCCATATACGGAGATAAAGATCCTTTTAGAACCCTTATAGAAGCCCTTACAGAAATCCTTAGTAGAACCCTTCAAGAAGCCTTTGATCAAAGGTCGGCCGGAGGGTCGCGGAGGAGGTTTATGATGCTGAGATCCCAGAGAAGGCCGGCTTTCACCAGACTGGCACGGCTTTTCGGGGTCGCACGAAATACTGTAACAGAAAATCAATCCGCTTTTTGTGGTCTCCCAGATTAAAGCTAAATTATAACATCTCCCTCAACCCTTTTCTGATGTTTCGGGCCCTAGTTAAGTTACGTCTTGGCGGAGACTAGCAGCTTCGGGGCTTCTCACCTGAGTGTGTTGGGCGAAGCTCGAAGGTTCAGGGCAGTCGGGAACAAGGAGGGTTCTGGTCTCCTGATCTGATCTCTCCAGCCGAAGGTTGTTAACATGGAAATTCCAGGATCTCGAGCATGAAAGCTTACGGAAAGTTTTTGGCGATTGAATTGAGCCTGGGCGATGCTGGAGCTTCAGTTCGGATTTGCTACCAGCAAGAAAGATGCTCCAGCAAGGTGGGCAACCTTGATTTGAAATGCTTAACAATGTTTTCAGGCGGCTTATGTTTGGTCGTGACCCCTTCTTTTTGTAGGTTGCGTTGTCCGAAATTCTCTGATCCCACTTAGCACCTGGCTGAAACGGGAAACGCACAAAATGGGGATCTGAAAGAGCGCGGTTCGAAGGGGGTTCGACTATAGAGCGGAGGGCTAAAGGTAAGCGGTTTAAACGAGGGAATGTGAGCAAAATAAGGAAAGCGTCGGAAGAGAGGAGGGAAGATTTTTGCCTGCCCATCCAGACAAGAAGAGGGACTTGCGTAATGTGGTGTAATTCTAAGGGTTTCGACTCCGCAATGATATTTCGAGAGGGTTCCGCCAATACAACTAAGCCTACACCATATGTAGTCTATCGTGATCGTGACCTTCACAGACTTGAGAAGCGTTGTTGAGTGGCATGACGCTTGGAAACATCATCGGAGTTCAGAGAAACACGGAAGAAGGCTGGCATTGGAGCAGGCTCGAAGCCTGCATCCCACAGGGTCCGACAGCCTCAGCCAGTCAAAACTTTTCAACCAAAAGGGTCCAAAAGCAATGATCCCTTTGTCTCCTGTCAGGAGAAGAGAGCTATCGTAGCCTCGGCCACCTGGGCAGCTGCCCGTGCCGAAACAGCCAGCCGCCAGCTGAACGGCACTGCCGGGATGCCCGAAGAGGTCGCAGGTGCCTTGGCTTTGTCAGATCAATGGAGTTTCGTGCCCGACTGGGGGGAGATGAGCTTTGGTACGGTAGAGGCAACACAATGACTGCTCGACTCAGATCTACGCAGACCTTTGGGAAGAGCAGATGAGGGAGTAATGAGTGGCAATCTTGGGCGGACCGATTTCGAGGTGACTTTCTCGCTTTGAGCCGTGCATCGCACGCTGCTGGCTTCTCGGACAGCGCGACGGCAGTCATGAAACACCAGTGGCAGGACTCGCCGGCTGGAGGGTTTCGTGGGCATTGCAGGTTTACATGAAGTGTTGAATTGCCATCATGTCTCGGGTCAGGGGACGCTGCATCGGATCGGATACAGAGAACCGGTTGGAAGCCCAAAGAACACCCAAGGCGGCCCAAGGCGACAGCAATAATCACGCAGAGCCCCGGCATGCTGTGGAAACCTTGGCACGCATACCGACGACACTCGTGCGACAAAAACGGTGCTATTGCATGATCTTGCATGTGTAGTGAGGAGAGTCTGGACTCTCCAAGCCTCTATTTCTGCGCCCCAGCTCGGCCCGACAAAAAGCACTTTTCAGCACTGCCGTAATTCTCGTCGATACTTTCTGTACCACCGAGTCGCAGCTTGCCTTAGACCGATGTTGAAGAGTTAGAGCAAGCGTTGCTTGCACTAAGGGGCATACTGGCATACCGTCTATGTTCTGCAACGAGCCTTTCAGAGAACAGGAGTGAGATTGAGAGTGAGGGGGTTCTGCCGCTAGGCCCGGCGAAAGAAAGACAAACGAAAGCGGCTGGAGGGGCTCTTAAAGCTTGGTTCGAGATGCTTAGCTCCATGACCTATCTGAATAGTGCAGTGAGACATTAACCATGTTCACCCTGGAGGACATGAGCCCACAACAGCGTGCCGTTGCAGCGAAAGTCCTCAAAGCCGTGTCATCGGCACAGGGCCAGAAGCGACGGCGAAAAGGACTCCTGAAGAGTTGGGGTGGCCCATGGAAAGCCAACCATCGTGCATCTAGGGTTTAGGGTTTAGGGTCCCGCACACCTGCACCATAAATCATGCCCAGGATTTTTTCGTAAAATTGCGGGGCTCTCCGGACCGGAACGACTGTCATGAGCCCTCGATCTCTGAACGGGCCGTAGGCTCCGAGGCTTCTTCGAGCTAAGGGCGTGAGGGGGCCTTAAGATAACTAATGTAGGGGCCTTGATAATTAGAGTAGGGTTTTGGGGTATCTTATACTCTAACCCCCTAAGAAGGAAACCCCCAAAACCTTACTCTAATTATGAGGGCCCCTACATTAGAATGGGGATTCTATTCGGGATCTCCTTAAACCCGGAAGGTGGTGGGAGCCCAAGGCCATACCCCCCCATCTCTGCATCGTGAAGCCATGGCAGCCAAGTCTGAGCGGATATCGAGGAAGTTCCTTTAATCGGATGTGTCCCATGCGAAATCAAGGGGTACTGTACTGCCAACAAAGATCAACGAGCCCTGAAATCTCAGGTCGAGAAGAACATATTGTGAACCGTGTTCAACCGAAAGGCCTTGAATTCCGAACTGACGGCTAGACTTCTCGATCCTGAACCTCTTCATGGGCCGCATTGCGCCACGACAGTAGGTCCCCTGCCTCCATGGCAGGCGCAAAAGTAGTCAGTTTGATGTGCGCTACAGGTGACAGCACTCTGTTTTTTGCACCAAGATCTCTCAGACTTCTTTGAAGGATCATCTTCCGCAGAGCGCGTTGCTTCCGTCGTACGGGCATTGGAGGACGCAGGTGCACGGCTGAAGGTCAAAGCTCTGCGGGCTTCCTTCATTGTCATACTTCGGGCTTTGGGGGGCTTCTGAGAGCTCATAGCCTCGGATTCCAGGATTTGCATAAGTGCATAACATACATCTTTGGGCTTTGCAGGGTTCATCAGGATTCTGGGGCCCAAGGTCTGAGAATTCGTTGGATGTCCGGGACTTCACTCTCAAGCTGACCTTCACAGTCTTATCTCGGTCCTACAGCTTTGAGGGCTTTGGGAATCAAATGAAAAAAAGACCTTGTAGGGTTAGGAGTTCCGAGAGAGGCCTGCAGTGCGGCTTCCTGTGAGCACTGACGCGTTTTGAGGTATTGCGGCGTTGCGCCGACACACGAACCGGGTGTAGGGCTCGTTTGTTTTCTTCAACCATGTTTGAGCCTCTTGTTGCTTCCTTCCTGTTGTCACGTTCTTGCCAGCCCTTTGTGATTTCCGAGTTGGTTTCCCAACCCCGCTAACAGCAACCGCCTTCTCAGACGGTATGCGTCAGCCTTTTGAAGTCTGCATAATAAAGTTCCATAAATGCATGACGACCACCCCCCCTCCCATAAACCCTAAACCTAGACCCTAACCCCCCCCCCCCCCCACCCACAAGCTTCCAAAAGAGCGTATGCAGGCGTCCCGGCGAGCGAAGAGGCCGCCTTCGCTGCTGAGGCCCTCCGCCAGGGCGCGGCCGTCGAAGAAGATCCCCAGGTGCTTCCCCGACACGTCTTAGGGTTTAGGGATTTAGGGTTTAGGGTTCGAGTTTCTTCTTGAGGGACAGGGCAGGGAACGGGCAGGAGAAGGAAGGAGGGCTCTCAGAGGTGGAAGAGGAGAAGGAGCATAACGGTAACAAGTGGCAGCGGGCTTTTGTCGCCGCTGTTAGCCGAGACGTGTTGGAGCAGGTCGCGCCTGGCTCAAAGACGATCTTGGACGATATCGTTGACCTGGTGAAGTCTGCGGGCCTGAGTCACTTGGAGGCATCCTAGAATCCTACAACCTATCTAAGTTTTTCTCTTTTTTTCCGAACTCTCCGTTTCGGGGGAGGGGGCGCTGTACTCGTAGCGATTATCCGGTAGAACTCCCTAAACTGTGCCTGCTTTATGCGAGCCCCCTGCCCCAGTGTCGAAACGTGGGCCTGATAAGATCTGCATGGGAGCTCAGCACCTTCAATCCCAGGCTCTGCGCAGCAAAGTGGTATCCTTCAGGTGGTCGCATCAATGCAGCCCACGGAGCCATGTCTTTCCTACAGCACCTGAAGCCTGAAGCAGCGGGGGATTGCACTAAGTGTGAGAAGTTTCGCACCATGGGCTTTCTTTGGATGCAAGTGTCGTCTGAGCTGAAAGGAGTGTCTTATTGCGAAAGCTTTGAGAGTGCAGCCCGGGCCTGCAACTCGGAGCTCCCAAACCGCGACCGCTGCCGCAAACTCTTAGCACGTCGAAGCCTTGAGCACAAACGAGGAGAGGCGGGCCATCGCTCGCATCTGGGCAGCTGCCGGTATCTTGACTTCCCCTACAGTATTCGGAGCGGTTTGCGAGCACTTGTTCAAGAGATGTGTAAGATGCTTGAACTACTGGATACCTCCGGGCTTCTTTTCACACACAGGATCTTCGATGCATGCGCTTGCCCTGGCAGCAACCATGGCTCATGCCACGGACTTCTCTGAAGCCCCCACAGTTTGGCTTTAGTGTTATTATTAGTATATGGCAACTTCTCGCTGTTACGACAGGCAATCGCAGCAGCACTGCGCCTTTCATCACCCATGCCTTGGATGCAGGCAAGATTTGAGCGTGTTTCAGGGCTTGCATGGCCGGGAGACAGATCTGGTGAGTGCATCTACGAAGACTGGTTAGTGCATATTTGGGAGCTATTTTACTTAGCATCACGGCCCTACGTCATTCATGCTTGTTCCTATATTTTCGCATGCGCACATATGCATGCATGTATATACATACATATACACATACACATACGCATACACATACACATGCATGTACACACATGCACATACATATACATATACATATACATATACATATACATATACGTATATATATATACACACATACACATACACATACATTTTCAAATACATGCACATACACATGCATGTACACACACACGCACATACATATACATATGCATATACATATACATATACATACACATACACATCCACATACACAGACATATACATGTACATATACATATACATATACAAACACGTATACGTATACGTATACATACATACATACATACATAGTTATATATGTACATACCTGTTTGTGTTTGTGTGTCTGCGACCATAGGTACAAGCACATACAAGCAATACCTTCATATACATACATACCCACCTTCGTGCATTCACACTTCCAAACGCAACCCACTACAATACAGTTACCGTACACTACATATGCAACCACAAAACAAATGACAACGTGGCTCGATGCGTTACGATACAATACAACACAAAAGCAGGTACAAATGCATACAAAAGACAGAAACAGTTTCAGACAAATGCATTATTAAGAATCGTTTAGGCTACATTGCATGCTGCATGCCCGGAGGCAAGCAGTCCGAGCAGAGGCACCGGCAGGGGCTGTCATGTTGCACTGGCTGAAGCAGGATGCCAAATGAAAATATGACAGTGCCTTGCGTACGTCCTGAATGTTGATTTTGCCGTGATGAATGAGAATTGAGAGGTGAAAGACGACGAACCAGTATCTGGGTAGAGTCGTAAACTTGCTTGAATCACGGTGCGCATAGCCAAATTGCGAGGCATTGCCTGAAGGGTGTGTGAAGAAACGTGTTAAAAGTACTTGAGATAGATGTTTTGCTATGAACCGAAAGCCCCCCCGCCCCCAAGGTCGCAAGAGCGAACACGAAGCAATTATGCTTGAGGCTGTTATTGGCTACTGGCTACACCAAGCAAGCCCAATCTCGTATGTCGTCGGATGATTTTAAGCGCTGTGTGCAGTGATCGTGAACTTCACGGGGGCTTCAAATGCTGTGTCGCGAAGCTAATGCTACCCTGCCGCTCGTGTTGTCTATACTTGTGAAACTCCGAGCCCAAAGGTATCGAATCCCAGCTGGAGCAATTTGCAACCGCTACCCCAGCATTCGTACTCCAACCATCATGCCTCATTCTGATTATCTCGCTTCATCACTCGAGGAGTCATAGGGTACACTAGACTGACGCTAGCAATGCATGAGGCTGCCTCTTTCGACTCCTGCACCTCCTGACACTCGGTCGAGGTGAGAGATAGCCTTGTTTTCAGGACCTTCGGTGAGACTCCGGTGGCTTCTTTGAAGTTCGGTTCTGAACCTTCTGGCCGGAGAACTTCGAAATCAATCCCGCCCGTCTCAACAGCTCGATTGTTTCGTGTCCGCCGGTGACTGAAGCCCAAAGACGAAGCCCGTCAAGCAGTGCAAGAGGCACATCCCAGCAGAAATCCCCAACACCGTTCCATCACTGCTGTGTTGTTCAGCTTTAAAGCTTCCAGGGATCTTCCGCTGGGTTGAAGGTTGAGGGCCGGTGACAGTCCGTTGTCCACCAGCTCTGAATTCTGAGGACCACTGTTGCGATACTGTACCCAAGGACCAAACAAAAGATGCAGAGAAGGCCCTTGAGCTGTTGAATGTCGTGGTCTACGCAGCCATTCAGGCATGGAGGGCTCGTGCTTGGAGTTCGGGTGTTTCGCGCTGTATTTACGCAATCGCACTTTCTGGTGCATAAACCAGCAGGCGTGTATGTTTGTATGTATGTGTATGTAGGGCATTCATTGTGCCTGTACGCATGCATGCACGCATGTGTGCTAGTATGTGTGCGTGCGTGATTGTACTCGAATGCCTGCATTCGTGTATGTCTGTGTGTGCATGTAGTTATGTATGCACGTGCACATGTTCGTATTTATGTGTGCATGTCTGTATTTATGTATGTCAGCACGCACGTATGTGAGTGTGTGTTCTGTATTCCTTTCTGTCTAAGTATTGTGCATGGACGGATGTATGTATGCATGTATGTCAGCTAGCAATGTCAGTGTATGTATGTAGGTTGGTACGTGGGTAGGTAGGTAGGTAGGTAGGTAGGTAGGGAGGGAGGGAGGGAGGGAGGGAGGGAGGGAGGTAGGGAGGTAGGTAGGTAGGTCGGTGGGTAGGTGGGTAGGTAGTAGGTGCGTAGGTAGGTAGGTAGGTAGGTAGGTAGGTAGGTAGGTAGGTCGGTCGGTGGGTAGGTAGGTAGGTAGGTAGGTGGGTAGGTAGGTAGGTAGGTAGGTAGGTGGGCAGGTGGGTAGGTGGGCAGGTGGGAAGGTGGGTAGGTGGGTAGGTGGGTAGGTGGGTAGGTGGGTAGGTGGGTAGGTGGGTAGGTGGGTAGGAAGGGAGGAAGGTAGGTGGTAGGTAGTAGGTAGTAGGTAGGTAGGTAGGTAGGTAGGTAGGTAGGTAGGTAGGTAGGTAGGTAGGTAGGTAGTCCTGTAGGTCTGTCGGTATTTACGTAGAAGTGAATGCATGTATGCATGCATGTTCGTTCGTGTGTATAACTGCTTACTACCCTGCAAGTAAGTAAGTAAGTAAGTAAGTAAGTAAGTAAGTAAGTAAGTAAGTAAGTAAGTAAGTAAGTAAGCAAGTAAGCCAGTAAGCCTGCAAGCAAGCAAGCAAGCAAGCAAGGAAGTAAGGAAGTAAGGAAGTAAAGTAAAGTATTTGAGCATGTGTGTATGTATGCATGTATGTATGTATGTATGTATGTATGCCTGCATGTATGTATGCATGCATGCATGCATGCTTGTATGTTTGTCTGCATGTTGGTCTCTGCGTGTGTGTGTGTGTGTGCGTGCTTATGCATGTATGCAGGTGTGTATGTGCGCGCATGCACATACGCATGTAGGTATGCCTATGTCAAGCTGCAAAAGCACAAACTGCATGGCACACGTGCACCCTCGTTTGTGCATTGGGTGCCCAGATACCAGTAGTGGGGTACCGGCGATGCACCTGTCGACTGGCACAGCTAAATTTTTTCGCCTCGAGATGTTCACATGTGAGCCGCGAAAACAATCCGAATGCCATAGACTCGTTGACCCTGTTGTCAAATGCCAAAAACCCCACTTTCGAGGCTGGTGCCCCACCGGCGGTCTTGGACAAGGCTCGACCAAAGTTTCCTTCCAGTCTGTACAGGAGTTTAGGGTTGAGGGTCGCGGGTTTAGGGTGCGTTCAGGCTTCGGTGCCTGATGTCGGCCCGGCATTTTCGATTGAAACTGCTTCGTCCGGAGGACTGGCCGGGATGCATGACGGTCTGCGAGGTAGTAGGTAGATCTGTCCATCCAATGAAGCCCAAAAGGCATCTAAGAAAACGAGCCACGCAAGCATCACAGTCTTGATAGCAGAACCGTGAAGACTTGGGAGACTCCCGAACCCTGCCGTAACCTGCAACTTGCCTAGCGGACAGCTGCCCTCCCACCCGGAGGTAAATGCGCTGGCTCAGAACATGACCCCCGAAGAGCAGATGGCCGCTGCAGCAGCCGTCCTGAACTCCACGCAGAAGGCAAATTTGCGTAAAGGATTTGAAGAGCAGTTGGGGGCAGGTCGGTTCTAGATCGTTCAGGTCTGAAGCGATATCTGCTGAGCATATGTGCATCAAGGGGTGAAGTGGAGCCTGACATAGAGACAGAAGAAGAGCGAGAGAGCAGAGATACCCGTCTTTCGGAAACTGAAATCTGCAAGCCAGTGCGCTGCAATATGGGAGTCTTATGGGTGCACTTCGTGTGAAACCTCAACTATCTGAGACTGCCCCTTCCACCCGTCCTTAACCCAACACCCGAGTCCAAGAAGTTTCAGCCCATTGCATGCACGGTCCGATCTCTGAGGGGAAATCGATGCAGGGATACTGAGGCTTGACTCACACATGGTCGACAATGTGGGGACTTGTTCTGTAACCGTAACCGCTCATCGGTCACATGGCAAAGGCAGCCGAGGCTACGACGTATGCTGCTCAAGCTGTATAAAGCGCTCTTTATGGCTAGGTGGCGTCTTTCAATCTCATAGCGAGTCTGAGATGAGGTTCCGGTTCCGGTTTATGAGGTTGAGCAAGTAGCCTGTTACAACAATACGCGCCTCACACTGTCGTGTCCTCACGAGGACATCTCTCAATCAAGTTGCGTGCAGGTCACCCTTTTTCGTCACAAGGTGTCGTCGAACTCGAAGACTCAAGGTATTTTCGCCTGAAGGGTTCGGACAAAGCCCTGTTCGCTTTCAGTTTTAGCTTATTGAAACTGGGTCCCTGTTTGATACAATTTTACCTTTTTCTTCTAATAAAACCCAAAAAAGGATTAACACTTATCATTTCTACTATAACCCCAACAGGGAACCAGGAAAGTCTCCCTAAACCACGGTGCGAGCTAAGCCTAAAGACATCGCAGGCTCCCGAGGACAGAGATCCGCTGGCTTCAGTTGCTGATGCCATCGCCCGGCATCGGAAGGAGGGGCCTAGAGAGTACTATAGGGGTCTAAATAATTAGTAATACTGTTTCGACATTCCTTAAAATAGCTATAGGTTACGAGTCCCAAAACTCCAAGCAAGTTTTAATCTTTATGGCCCTGTGTTATGACTGGGAGCAAAGCTTTGGGAAATGCTGTAGGGGCCTGAATATTCGAACAGGTTCTTGGGCTTCTTCTATCGTACAAACACAATAAGGGAACCGTAGCATATAACATTCGCAAGTGATTATTCCAGGCTTCTGAATTAGCTGTTATTGTGTTTCTTTTTGAGGCTTGGGTCACGGTGTGCTTTCATGGTTTCACACTGTGGGTGTGCCTTATTCCGTTGCGAGAATGTTGATAGAAAGTGCCTCGACTCGTTCATCTAGTTTGGTCACGGAACGGGCTAGGCTAAAGGTCGCGTCGGACATGCTTCCTTCAATCGTGAATATCTGCTCCTGACTGATTTATATATATATATATACAGATTGCATTTGTGTTGATAGAAGAACTGTTAACATAAAACAGCTTGTATATGCTGTGCCAGGCAGCAGAGGCTATGAAACGCTAGCATGCTGTCGGTTCTATGTACGGTTCTAGCTCGTGTAGGCCCGGGCCAGATTTCGCAAGCTTCTGTCATGAGCCAGTGCACTTTCCAGGTTGCAATCACAGCCTAGTTCTTAATTATTGCAATTGTCAGGCTGTTATCGCTCATGATCGCGGCCCAGGGTTTCATCGCAATGTTCAGAGTCTTAGAGGCTATGCGCAAGACCCGGCCATGTTGGTCCATTCTGATTTAGGCATTGAGCGGGTCTACTGACATGCAGGCCGTAGAGGACGAGGACAGCAAGCAGGACGGCGTCCCTGCACTGACTCTCGCCCTGGATTTCGCGGGGAGTCAAGAACTTTTCGGGCTGTGTATCCATGTAATTTAAAGGGGACCCTTCTGGAACCCTACTTCTGCATCTCTTAAAGGGGACCTTATTGAGAGGGTCTATATCCCCGAGGGTCCCCCTAATCCTAACTCCCATGTAAGGAACAACATGTTCGAGTCGATTGCCGCTCCCCCGGAGTCTGTCCAAGAATACGAGGTGCACCGAGCTGAGGTTTGGGGTTTCGGGGCGGGAGCATTGGGAGGCAGAAGAGAGTTCCCAAGGCCAGTTGGGATCCAGTATGTAGCTCGGCAACAGTTCCATCATCCTCCGAAACCAAACTATCAAGAAGCCTGCATTGTCTTTCGAGGGTATGCGCATGTGTCTAGCGTGGCGGGTACAATTGTGAGTCCTTGGCATGCTAGTTGTGATGTCTGTGTGGATGTTCGCGGAAGGCCACGCACCACGGTGGCACCGGATTTGTGTTCCTGGTTCGCTTGGCCAGTGACAGCAACATGGCCGTCCAAGTTGGTTAACAAGGTTGAAAGTGGAGGCAATACAGTAGCCTCAAGAACTGGGACTAACTTCCTCTCGACACTAGAACCTATTAGCATGGTGTCTCGGGTGGAGCCCATATTTGACCCAAACGTCTTTTCTGGAACCTGGGAATCTGCATTTGGCACCATCTAGCCACATAGCTGATTCCTCACTGCATCGCAATGGGCCAGAGGGCATTGGCGTCTACCTTCCTCTGCTGGATTGCCAGTATTGGCCGCATTGGTCTTGTCAAGTAATCACGAACGCACATTGGACGGTCCCCAATGCACTTTCTAGCGATTTCCCTAGCGAGTCAGTGACTGGGTTCCGGAAGGTTTGTGCAGATGTGCACAGATCTGCTTAAGCCAAATCTGTCCTGCCTGGGTCGAATGTGCATTCGGAGGTTTAGCAGATGCCGCCCCGCAGACTACAGTAGTGAAGTATTGGAAGGGCCCGAGAGTTTGCTGATACCGATGCAGCAAGAAGCGGTGGTCCTACGGAGAGACCATTTTCAGCAACATTGCATCTGCAAAGTGTCGATTTCGCACTGTCTGGGAAGGTTGCATTGCGAGCTAACAAGTTCTGACGTGGCAGCTCGATGTAGCATCCTGCTTTCCAATCTGTTGTGCTTCGGGAATGTTCAGGAAACCGAACCAGACTTGCAAAGGACTCTGGGCCTTTGTGCAACAAGCCGTCGGCGAGACCATCGTAAATCGGAGCAGCCTCGCCATCATCAGCGCAGCTTTCAGGCGCTGCATACCATTTTCGGAATTGTTAAGCTACTTCAGACGTCCTTATGACACGGGTCCTGTATCTTCTGAAGCTCTCAACTCTTGCAGTTTTTCCTGGCCGACGTGCGGACAGAGCCACTTCCGCGATGCACGAGCTCTGCACTTTCCAGACGCGACTTGACACTTGCACTCAGGACTCCCAGGGTTGGCGCTTGAAATTCGGCACCGTCTGGGGTGTACAAGGGCACCATCTTGTGACACAGACGACATGTGTGTGCATGTGCATATGTGTGCGTGTGATTCTTGCGAGCATGTGTACGTGTGTATGTTGTTATGAACATTTGCGCACACACACATGTACATGTATATGAATGTGTGTATGTGTATGTTTATGTGTATTTCATGTGTACGTGTTTGTATACATACCTACGTACACATACATACATACATACATACATACATACATAATGCGGGAGCCAAAATACATACATACACACACACATATATACACATGTGTAGACATATTCATGTCTACACATATAATTGAAAATGCATATGTGTGTGCATGTACATTCATACATATACATGTGCAGGCATTCATGCACAGGTAAATGTATGTATGTAGATAGCTAAATGTGTCTGTCTGTATGTATGTGTATATGTGTATGTTTATATGCGGGGAATGCATACCTATACAGATGTATGTGCATGTGCATATACACATACATACATATGCATGTATGTATACATATATATATATACACATGTACATACATGCATTTACATGTATATGTATGTATAGGTGTATAGATGCATAGATGCATAGATGTATAGATGTATATAGATGTATTTATGTATATATGTATATATTGTATATATGTATATATGTATGTATCTATGTATATATATATATATATAATATACACAAATATGTGTAAATGTTTGTATATATGCGTGTGTGTTTGTGTGCGCGTGTGTGTGTGTGTCCATCTTTGCGTGTATGTAAGTCCTGCACGTATATGTACACCTATATATACATACACACGTACTCTGAATGAATATATATATATATACATACATACACACACATACATTTATTTTATTTACACGTCCGTATGTACGTACATATGTATGTAGGTAGGCAGCTAGGTAGGTAGGTAGGTAGGTAGGTAGGTAGGTAGGAAGGTAGGTAGGTAGGTAGGTAGGTAGGTAGGTCGGTAGGCAGGCAGGCTGGTAGGCAGGCAGGTAGGTAGGTAGGTAGGTAGGTAGGTAGGAGGGTAGGAGGGTAGGATGAGATGGAATGATGCGCTATGGTATGGTATGTGCCGATGTGCGTATGCATACACAGATATATACATATAGTGAATACATACATATATATATATAATTATAATGTGCCTGTGTGTCTTGCGTGTATGTATACGACACACACACACACACATCTCTCTGTGGGTGTGTTTGTCTTAAGCTACTTTTCACTTAGCACTCTGCGTGTATAAGTTCATGTCAATGTGGACTGCATTAGTAGGTGAAGGAATTCAACTTACTTGTTGCTCGCGCGTTTCTGGCTTGCTGTTTAATCAGTGTATTCATTTCAGATGTTTTTCTTAACTGCAATGTGGTTCTGATGCTTGTTGTCGGTGATGTGTTCGGTAATTATGCATGAGCTGGCCCTGGGGAAGACGGGATCAGTTGTTTGATTTTTTGATTTTCCAGGGACCCCAGAGTGAAGCCACCCAGGTGAGTCGCAGAAAGGGCCCAATTCCAACCTCTTGGTTTCTCTGCCACCATCTCACATCTCACGTCCGCATGTTCCCCGCTAGAAAACAGTATGCTTGCCATGTCTGATCGTAATAAAGCATTGCTAAGCTTAACCCTCCTTGAAACTCGAAATGCTCTCTTTCTAGACGGGACAGTCGTCCAATTCTATGAGGGTCGCCTGCTGAGTTTTCATGTTAGGTTTGAAGATCTCCTAAGGCCCGCTTCATGCCGACTCGCGCCTGTGGCGGCCTTGCTGTGCCTGGGCAGGGCCGAGTGGTTCGTCGCTGAAGTGCTCAAGGGCGTCGCAGTCGTCCTCGTCGTCTTCTTCGACGTAAGCAGCAGCTGCAGCCGCGGTGGTAGAGGTAGTCGTAGCGGTAGCAGCAGCAATAGCAGCAACAGTGTTAGTATGCCTGCGACCGTTTGCCGAGTCACCCTTGCACTATGCACCTTGTTTGCTTGAAAAGTCCGAGTTGGGGTGCCGAGCCCAATCTTCGATTCCCTATGCTACACAACCGAAATCATGAGGCCTCAGGCACGAACATGTATCATACTGTATAATGTACCATGTTTTTTTCAGATAGTGTTACTTACCATCATATTACCCAAATTTTCTCACGTTAGATTTTGTCCTAACAAGCCCTGTTTCTCCGACCCTCTGATTTTATTTCCGCACTCCCTCGCAATAGAGGAACTCGAATCTAGTCTTGAGGATCGTGCTTTTATGTTTCTGTATTAGGGATGGACACCGAAACCCTGAACCTGAGAGGCTGAACACGAAATCTACTTAAACCCGAGACGCCCCATGCGCCACAAAGGACCTTAGCTTCACATCCGAGGCCCAGAGCCGCGAAACCTCCGGATTTCGTCTTCCGGCCACCGGAAGCCAGGCTCGATGCTGCGCTTTCGGGCATGATGTTTACAGCCACCGGTTGCAGTTCTGAAATGGTTGGAGGGCCATGCTGGTTTGTCGAGTTTAGGATTTTGTGCCTGGGATTTTTATGCCATGGTACTCAGAGGCTCTAAGTTTCACGTCACCCGTGTCTTTTTGTGTTGAAGTGCTCTTGGTACTGAGGCTACACCCACGCATGACCTCTAAAGCTGACCCGGAACCCTCGCCAAGGCATGTCCGAGAGTGAGTGCTGAAAGCTAACACGGTCTAGATAATACTTCGGCTTGACACCCCCGAAGCTCGCCCAGTGCAACGCATTTAGCAGGCCACCACAAACCAGACTGTTGATGATATAAATCCTGCATTACCTTAAGGACCCTCAACCATGGGAATTATGGTAAATTCCTTATTATGGGTAACGCAGGATTTATACCATCAACCGGATGAAGGATGAAACCCAAACACCAAAAATTTGAAGAGCGCTTCAATCCTAGACCCTGAGTCAGCAGGAACTTTTCTGGCTGTCTGGCGAACTGGGCCATGGTGAGAACCTGCTGTTGATCCAGATCCAGGTTACCCTTCATTTGCGGGTCCGTTTGTCTTTGTGTGTGTGTGTGTGTGGGCGCGCGAGCGTGCGCGTGCGCGTGCAGGTGCCGGTCTTATCTGCATTATACACGCATACATACATACATACATACATCCATGCATGCATGCATGCATGCATAGATAGAAAAGTGTGAAGGAGAGAGAGAGAGAGAGAGAGAGAGAGAGAGAGAGACCAGATGTCTGCAATGAGACGAGTCTTCACCAGAACTTCGACGGTTCAACATGTGAGGGGCGCTCACAACTTTGCCGCGGCCTATGAAGGTAAACAGCTTGCGAAAATTATCGCCGGGCAAACACCACACGACGCAAACTTTCTGAGAAAAAGGGAGATAGCGAGAGAGAGAGAGCGAGAGAGAGAGAGAGAGAGAGCGAGAGAGAGAGAGAGAGAGAGAGAGAGAGAGAGCACCATTCAACAACAGCACAGTATAAACAATTTCGAGCAACCAAGATCAATCTTTTTCCCCAGTGTTGCACAGAGTCTTGAGCCAATGCCAGTCGGCATCGTAGCATCCGTTAATGCATCATGTGCACTCGTGATCATTCTAGGGGTTGTGTCATTTAACACAGTCCCTTGATCCTGACTTCAGTCGAGGATCATTCAAACATTTAACATTTACACGACTACGCGGCAGCATTCCCGAAACATTCAAGAAACATTGAAAAACGACAGTCATCTACCTCATGGTACATTGGGCTCAGTCGGGATTTCTGGCACGATTCGGATCACCGTCGAACTCGGGGCTGACTTGCACTGTGCATAGCAATCACGAGTAGTCGGGTTCCGATTCATCCACATTGAATCCGGGAATTTCATTCTCTACAAAACCGCAGAAGAAATCCATTCAACATTTCAAATCAAAGTTCACTTCACCAAAGCATGCGGCATTCGCTAAGGCACTCCCTAACTCACTCCGGGCTCATTCGCGGCCGCGCTTCCTGCCTTTGGCATTCATTCTCAGGACAATCTCCACACCGGGCTTCAGGCATTGGCGACCCGGGCCAGGGCCCGTTGAGCTGCTGCTGGGCCATTCCAGGCATGCTTCTCATTCGGCTTCTCGCCGTCATCATCCTCATACAATTCATCCCAGGTAGAGCAGCCATGCTGCATTCCACAGCCATTGCATTGCGCCAGTCGCACCATGAATCTCCATTCCACGAGATTAAGGTTGCCGTAAATCCCCGTTCGATCGCCTCATTCAAGCACAGCAGGCACTTCGGGGAAAACACAGTCATGATTTCATTCGTGGGCACTCGCATTTTGCCCATGCTGTCAGCCGACTCCGGCGACATGGTCCACGTCCAGTCGTCGTCATTCTGACCATGCGCCTCGAAGGTCGAGATGTGGTCAATGAACTGGCGATTGAAGTAATTCGCCAGTTTCATTTGGTCCAGGTCCAGCATTCACCCATCTGCGACGGGCCTCCCCAGAGCGCGTGTCTGAAAACCACGAAAGCAGTCGGCTCATCGCATTCACTCGGCGTGTAGACTGCGTAGATGGTTGGCTCATTGACAGTCTTCCTCAAAGCACTCAAGGCAGTGAAGGCTGCCATTCAGCTGGCCGCAAGGGTAGCGGCTCAATTCCAAGCAGCCATCCTCGAACATCCAGCCATGCACCCTGACCAGGGCCTCAGGGTGTCAGTCCTATTCTCCTTGGCAACCAAGATCAATCTCGTTCCCCAGTGGTGCACACACTCAAGCAAGCATTCCTTTGTGCGACCGCTCCAGTCCTTGTACAGTCTTGAGCCAATGCCATTTGGCATCGCAGCATTCTTCGTTAATGCATCATGTTCATTGTGATCAATCTAGGGGTCGTGTCATGTAACAGAGAGAGAGAGAGAGAGAGACAGACAGAGAAAAAATAACACAGGGAGAGAGCATTCGAGAGCGAGAGTTAGAGCGACAGAAAGCGAGATCGCGTGCGAGGAACACACACGCGACCATAGTTCCTGCCAGTTCCGCGCGCGGCAGTTGGCAAAAAGGGAATTGGGTGCCACGTTGGTTTCATTTGTCCTGAGACAAGCCAGGAGCTGATTCTGCACGAATTTCGAGCAGAAGCCTGCCTGCATTGATTCGGTTGAAAAGTTTAGGGTGTACCTCATAGCACGTCAGAAGCGCGGTGCAGGGCTTTATATCAGGCTAGTGGGGCCCTACGAGAGACCCACGTGCCCGATTTAAACATCAGCATGGAAACAAACGAGCTGCAATTCAGCTTCTTTTCTGATGTGCCAAGGGCGGCCAGATAAAGGAGTACAGCCTGTGTGGAGGCCATGCAAGCACGTGCCCTGCATGCAGAATGGCCGACTGGTTTGCTGCAGTTTACGCCACAGGTGACCACTTTGGTGTCAGGTGCTTTGGGCAAGAACGATTAGACTTGAGAGCCGCGCGTACACGATGTGTCGGAGCAGCGTCCAGACGTAGTTGAGCCGGTGGGCGCTTACGGTTTACTTTACGCGAACCTTGTTGCAGGATGCTCATGGGCATCGCTGCGGGTAGGCGTGGGTAGTGTTAGTGCAAAGCTTTCCTGGAGCCAGAGCACGGGAGACAGATATGTATGTAGGCATGTGAGGCGTGTGTGTGTGTGTACCTTATCTATCTGCCGGTCTAAACAGATATGCACAAACAGAAAGAGCGTTAATGGTAGCAGCAAGTATGCTTGTGATGCAGGGTGCAGTCAAACCAACTTGCCGGCAAAGTTAATCTATCTCAAAGGGCCATAGCTACAACGGCTCAGGTACATCGGGTGCCCGTCTGAAGCCCCCGTGGACCTGGTCTACCCAGCCACTTGGGAAGCTACAGTAAAAGCCTCATCTTCACTTTCACTGGGTTCATGTTCAGGGTCACTAACTTTCAATGCTTAGCTACCAGAACAAAGCCAGCACAGTATGCACTGATTGTGCCTCGGATGGTATCTTGAATTTGAGTTCCTTGAAAAGAAACCAGCGTCCCCAGCTGCAAGTCCATGGCTTGGAGCGGCCCCTTGAGCTTTCCTCCGTTCTTTCATTGTTGTCGCCGCAACTGTTCTCGCTGGTGGTTTCTGCAGTTGTTGTTTGCATGTGCTTATCAAGAGCTGTGGGTGTAATCTGACTTCTTCTTGTCGATACATCTCAGGCACATGGCATTGGCGCAGCCTCGACTTTCTGTTCTGAGTCGAGCCAGGATAATTTGCAGAATGCTTCCTGCTTTCAGATCCCATAGGGCGCATGTCCTGTCTCTCGGAACTTCTTCGGACAAGGGCCAAGGCTTGGCTCTGAATGCAGGTGAAAGGCTCACTTAACCTCCTGCTCTCGGACCATCTGTGCTTCGGAAAGATCGGCACGATGACCGCATCGTCTTACGCCAGCTCTGCGCACAGCGGCTGTTTACATTGTCATCTATGGCTGTACCTAATTATAGGCACGAGCGAGCATGTGAATATAAAGTTGCAGCGGAACAAAGGTCATTACCGAAAGAACAAAGATCATGGCTTGTTGCCTTAACTGAAGGGTATTAGACTCCTGTGACACGATGCAACAGACCGAACCTCATAGTATTTCTTTGCACAAAGGCTGGCACGGCAAGCCTGAGACATGCGCGTGGGTTGAATGATTTGTTGCTGCTTCAAGCCATGGCCAGCATGCGCGGAGATGCAGGGCTGGTGTGGGTAACTCGGCTACATCGTGCAAGTCTGTGGTTTTGGCAGCAGCTTCCACTCGCAGCGAGGCGAAGTCCGAAACTGCTGTCCGGTCGACCCACACCCAGCAGCGTCAAACACAAAAACCTCCCCAACCCCCGCAAAAAGTGGCAGAGCCTTGCGTCTCCGGCGCGCAGTCAGACAGGGCGTTGCTGGCCAGTGCTGCCAAGCCCAACCTGCACCCCTTTGCCTTCCAGAAGAAAGAACCCGGAAACCGTAAGTCCACAACCCGTTCTGCAGAGCCTAGTCCTCGATTCCCAGGCGCGAGCCTGTGAACTGGCTCTCCAACAGAAGATCGACGAAGCCACTGCAATGTGCACAGAGATGGAAGAGAAGAGCCAGCGTTTAGGCCGCTGGGTGAAATTCGAAAAAGCCACCCTTAGCCACGTCCCTGCCCCCGAAATCGCATCTCTTCGAGGCATCGGCTGTTCAGATACTGTAGGAGGTCGTGGACCTTGCATCTGAACCGGCTCTTGTGGATTTGGTAGTGCGGTCCCGACGCTTCGGCATTTGGCGGCAGCCTCGCAATTCCATACACGTAGTAATCCACTGCTTGATTTGGTTAGTTTTTAAAACAAGCATCAACAGGGCATCCGATGACTACTTTCAACCCGATTTTTGGGGCCCCACATTGCGCAACCTTGAACCGTGACCCGCGGCGCTCCGTCGGTGAGGCGTCCGAGTCACCCAGGCGGCTGCAGCTGTCTCTAGAGCTGTCGTGGGCCTGTGCCGAAGCCCAGCCGGGCAGGCACGGAAGAGTTGCCCCAAGACAGGAGCAAAGATGTGGCAGCTACTATCTAATTTTTAACTGTTTGGTTGGCATTACCGTGAGCTGCACGGGCAGGCAGAGACAGAGAGAGAGAGAGAGAGCTTTGTCATTCATGGTGCCTTTGACGAGTTCCGCTTTCGATGTCAATGCCGACAGAGCCAGCCTCCGGCTTCAAGAACAAAGCCCTCCGGAAAGGGAATGAACCACCAAACCTCTTTATCGGGTGCCATGGGTGCTTCCTGCCGACCTTGCTCACCAGACTGCATTTCAGGAGCAAAGCTATCAGTAGTTACCGTAGAAATCCTATCCCGCTTCTGGAGGCCTTCATCCAGTCGCTGCGGAGTTTGGGGGCGACCTGGGGGGAAGCAAGCCTGCTGCTGACGGACGCGATCCACAGCTGCAAGAAGTCAGACTTCAGGATACTGTAGGGGCCTAAATAATTATTTGGGGGGGGCTCCTTATTATAATTATAGTATAATGGGCCCCAAAACCCTATTCTAATTATTAAGGCCCCTAAATTACCAGTTGGGGACGGACTTAACAAGAAGCCTGGAGCTCTCGAGAAGCCACAAGCTGCCACGGTATCCTTCCATTTTGGCCCATGGGTTTTGGGTTTAGGGTTTAGGGGTTTAGGGATCTGTTTGTCCTTTGACCGCAGCTCAGGAGCAGCAACAACTTGCCTGATCCCGGAGATTCCCCCTGGGGCGAAGCAGTGAAAGCTGCAAAGGCCAGCGAGTTCGAGTCTTCGCGGTTGGCCCGATGCTCACTTGTAAAAACCGCCGATTCGCAGAGTGCACGTCGTCGCACGTCTGACTCGGACGTTGCTCCAAGGAGCTGTAGTTTCATGTGTTTACAGCGGCTCAATCCAGAACCTCTTCACCCTAGTTACATCGTAGGATCCGCCAGCCCTCTAGAAGCCCAAGCACGCGAAATCCCAGCCACCACGGCTCGAGCGTGTGTCAGCCAGAGTGTACCGAAGCTGAATTCCCGGCTTTTCATCTTTGCGATCATGATGTCCCTCCGCTACCGCCGGACATTTATTGATGTCGATGAGGAGCCGCCAGTGAAGTTGTTTCGAAGCGGCAGCGTACCGGCACATCTTCACATCGAGGATGAAGATGCTGAGACAAAGAAAGAGTTGGCAAGCGTCTACCAGCGCATGGCTCAGTGGCGACCAGAGCTTCCCTCCTCGCACCCAGGGTCAGATCAGACATGGGACAGCACCGTGTTGGGAGAAGTGGATGTTTCTGGTAGCGGAGTGTCCGATGAAACGACGGTGCCGGTCATGTCGCCAGGACCACGAGGTGATCAGGTCTGTGAAGCTGGAACTCTCAATCCTGGAAGCTATGGTCACCCAGAGGTATGCCGCAAGCCCTGCGTGTTCTTTCAAGTCGGCCAGTGTGAGAACGGGGAGTGCTGTGGCTACTGCCATTTCCACCACAAGCGCCCGCTCATGCCCAATCAAAGGCAGCGCAGCATTCTCCGCAAGCTAAACCAAGCGGAGCTTCTGCATACCTTCCTTCCGATTTTGTGGTCGGAGGCTGGAAGGACCGGCATAGCCTCAGAGGCTACACATGTTGTTCACATCTTGGCTGATGCCCTGGATACCTGCGGCATGCCTCGTGCAGCCAAACTCGTAGGCAGCGATGCGGAGCATCTCAGGGGCTTGCTGAGCCGTATGTCCTTTGGCAGCTTGATGGCAATGCTGCTCCACAACCTCAAGCCCAGCGCAGTCGTGGACGCAGCCCGCACCGAATTTGAGGCGATGCGCCGAATTGTACAACTCAATGCTTAGGGTGGCTTGGTGAGAATGCAGAGTCGGATGCACTTGGAAAGACACCTGTAATAGACGAGCAGTGCATGACGTTTATGCATTCTGTTTTTGAGTTCTTCCTCTCAAAGGTTCTCCCGGTCTTTTCCGCGCAAACAGTGTCGCAGCAGACTCTGCATTGTTTGCCGAGCACGGTGCTTCCCTGTTGACCCGACGCTAAGTCCGTCGCTGCTGAGGATTCGATGTTGAGCTAGGACCCTGGCAGTCGTGTGATGGCCGGAATGTGCGCACCCAACAGCCTGTCTGCCCCCCCAAGGCTTTGATTTGGCCATCGCCCTGTTTCAATTTCATCTTTCGGTGGCAACCTCGCGGTGCAAATCCTGCAGGTGGCCGTTACAGCGACAGCGCCGCGTAAGAACGGTTATTTTTGGCAAGGCTATACCTGGGTATGTTGTCAAGCGCACGTTGTTTATCAAAAAAAGTTTCCGGACTTGAGCATACCCTGGGTTTCTGAACCCAGAAATAGTACTCGAAAGGGCTCCAAATTCAATCAACATATACAAGATGTACGGCACATGAAAATTGACTGCGGGAATTGGCCTTGTTGCACAGCAGCTCGGAGGGTTCCCTGGACTTATTTTCAACTGGCGCATTTGTGTTTCCGATCTTAATTTGCACGGCCGCCCAAGGATTCCTCTTCTTAAGCCGTGCCGTCGCTGTACCACAATTGATAACCGGGGGTCTGATCTTTGCGCCACGGTGGGAATGAGCTTGGCTTTCGTTGTTCGTCATTCGTTCGTCTGCATTTAGCCGTTCTTCCCGTGGCTTTTGAAACTCTACACCATCTGCTTGACAACTCAGGCGAATGCATCAGAAAGTTTTAGTGTGTCAGAAAAACCCATCCCGGCTGTCATTGCTCTCTGACCAAGCTGCGGTTCACCTGTAGGTTGGATACTGCCCCCCACTCAGTAACAGTTGGATAATATTCATAATATGGATATATAAGGCCCTTAACTGAAACCCTAAACCCTAAACTCTAAACCCTAAACCCTAAAACCCTAAACCCTTAATAATGGCCCCATTATAGACTGTTACTGTATGGGGGCAGTACCCAACCTGTAGGTTGTAGATCCGGAAGCATGGAGCCGAAATTTCCCTGCAGCTCCACAGGCCTCTGGAGATTGCACACTACCCTCAAATAGGGGTATGTGGTCCCAAATTAAGGGTATTTAGGGTCTAATAGAGGGTAGATGGAGGGTCTAGGTAGTTCCAAGTTCTACATGTTTGCTGTTGTCCAAAGCGCGCAGCTTGCACAGAAGGTCAATCAACCAGCTTGGATGAGGTTTGACTGTTTGCTGGCCAGGGGCGAGGTCCGTAAATCCATGCAGATATTGTTCAGTCTTGCGAAAGGTGCAACCACTGTTCAAGCGGTTTCCGAGCCCTGGCGCAAGTAAACTTCCGGGATCTTGTGGGTGTTACCCATAGGCCCCTAAGTAGTCCCTTTTTGGGATTACCTTATAGGATCGAAATACATAGACCACAAAAAGGAACTACTTAGGGGCCTATGGGTAGGCTGAACTGCACAGTGTCCAGATATCCCACCGGAGATTCTGGGGTGCGATGCTAAGTCCGTCGATGAGGATCCGATGTTGAGCTAGGACCCTGGCAGTCGTGGTGATGGCAAGAACGTGCACGCATACACCAAAAGGCCTCTCTCCCCGCAAGACTTCGGTGACATCCCTTGAGGTTTAATCTTGCCATTGCCTTGTTTCAATGTCATCTTTCGGTGCCGACCTCGCGGTGCAAATCCTGCCAGGCGGCCGCTACCTGTGGGAATGAGCTTCTTTGTAGTTAAGTCTTTTCGTCTTTGTTTTTGTTCAGCAGGTATCCAGCGTTGTGGCTTGAAGCTGCAAACATCCGATGCAGCCAAGCGCATCACGTGTCTATTGTGTCAGACCCTCAGCTTTCCCGAAGCGAGCAGCTTGCGCGGAAGGTCATGGGTCAGCATCCCGTACCCCAAACTCAACTGTCGAGCCTGAAAGGCCCATGGGCGAGGTCCGTAATCGCCGCAATCCATAGACGGCTTTCTTTTGTCTTGCGAATGGCCACATGTCATTTGTTTGAAGAACCCACAAGCTTGAGGCATCCGCGGCGCATATCTTGCATCGACTGAGCTGCAAGCTATCCCTTGCTACACCAGAGGGCGTTAGACATCGCAATCTGGATGTCTTGGCGAACACGAGATATGCAATGGGATGCGCAAACTTCGGATGTTCTGTCTGCAGAATTCACGTGCAATGGGCGATTGCCCGTTGACCGCAAGCCTGCAGAAGTGCTGGGGTCGTTATCGAGCCGCCCTTGGTTCGTCTTGAACGGTCGACGTCTGACCCAGCCTGCAGGTTTCCTTTGTGCCTTATCATCAGAGGATGCGGTCGAAAAAATATTCGGCAAGTACACCCGTAAACCATCTGCGAAACACGAAACCGTCCTTGTCCTTTTCTGCCCCCTTTTGATTGCGACGTTTAAAACGTCGAAATCAAAAGGGCTACTATCCCGGACCCCGGAACTCCACTAGCCTCCAGCCTGCTTCTCCATCCATGTACCGCAGTAGAATCCTGAGAGTGCAAACGTTGTCGTCAGCCCTATCCCGCGATTCATGAGGCTACAGGTTTTTTTGTCCAAGTCCTACATTGACCTGGCAACAAACCCCTAAACCCTACAAACCCTAAATCCACCTCGCCTGGCTTGTCCGAGTTGTGAGAGCGTAAACCCTAAGCCCTAAGCCCGAAACCACCCGAGTCACTCTCCCGTTAACTGCAAGGCCCCAAAACTCCGGAACTGATGGAAGCTACAAAGTTCTCATAAAATACCCCTAAACTCAGATCCCACAAAGCTCCGAACATTCTTTAGGGTTTAGGGTTTCGGATTTTGTCGAGTTCACGGAATGAAGGCTGCCCTGGCCCAAGCGCCGGATGCGGCCCGGACGACGGCCTTGGCACATCGCCTTGGGCTGGCTTGGACTCTGAGCGCCGGCAGCAGGAAGAAGGCAGTGTCCTGATCATGATGAGTTTCTACCAGTAGGGTGGGGTGGATTATAGAGTTTTGGTGTTCCGGATGATAGGGTTTAGGGAGGGTGTAGCAGCTTCGGTCTTGGTTCCTGCGTCTGAGTCTCGGCGTCAGTCAAGCTTATTGGAGGTCGTGATCTGACTAGACTTGAGCTCAGGACTTAAAGTTTGTGAGGAGGAAGCAGGAAACGTATCATGGTCATTATAAAAAACCGGACACTTCTCACTGTCATGGTGATGATAAAGATTATAGGTACTCTACCATTATGAATAATTACTTTGAGCACTGCGAAGGAACCAAAAGAGAGGCGGGGAAAACACAGCACTGTTCACACTGGTGTCCAATACTCAGAAAAGCCCATCATAAGCGGCGCGCACAGTAGCTGCTCATGCCAAGTCTGATTTCTGCTCTTGCGATCATGATATTGTTGATTGTGATTGTGATGGTTGTGATGGCTGTGTTGCTGCTGCTGCTGCTGCCGCCGCGGCTGCTGCTGCTGCTGCTGCTGCTGCTGGTGTTGCTGTTGTGGTGGTTGTTCTTGGTGGTGCTGGTGCTGGTGCTGGTGCTGGTGCTGGTGCTGGTGCTGGAGGTTGCTGCTGCTGCTGCTGTTGTTGTCCGTAGCAGAAGAGTCATGCCTGTTTTTGCTTCAGTCTGCTTCGAATCCTTAGAATTGCCATGTTTCACATCTTTGTTTGTTACAGGTGTCACGGTCCATATTACGACACCGACGAGCCGCTACTGGCAGTAGTCCCTATCGTCACGAGAATAGTAGTGGTGTTCTGCTACTTTTACTCGTGTTCTGCTTCCGGCTCGTTTCCTTTTTCGGTTTATGTTCTCGTAGTCTGTTTCGGGTTACGTTCAGCAGTATTTGCGTGGTTGCTGTCACAGACATACAGACAGAGACAAGCTAAGGACGCTGCAGCCGCGCCGTGCAACATCTAGGACCAGCAACTGGGACTGACATTATCTTAAATGAATCTTTTCACTTTATCAGAATGATACTGCCGGGGGTTTACTTCAATACTGGTACCACACTATGGTTCTAAGGTTCTAAGGGCTGTTGAGTACTGTTAAGTAACCCCATCCTCAGGTTGACCCAGACTTTTCCCTGCCTCTAGATCGATGCTCACTGTACAATGTATTTGGTGCCAAAGTCGTCAACAGCAGCGACATGGACCTGAGCTTATTAGTAGCTTTAGTAAGCCACTCCATAGCAGAGCAAGCATGCACCTGGTGCTTGGCAGAACGCCGAAAGTTTCGATCTCCATCTAGTAAGTCCAGTACTGGCCATCTCGGATGTCTCTGTGTGTGCGTGTGTGTGTGTGTGTCTCCGTTTGTTTGTTTGTTTGTCTGCCTGCCTGCCTGCCTGGCTGGCTGTCTGTATGTCTGTCTAGCAGTCTAGCTCCGCTATCAACGTACACACGCCCTTGCTTCGGACGTGTCCGCTGCTAATTCTCGGGCACACAGCAAATTGTTTGGAAAAGAGTCGCGACAGCGGCGCCGGAAATGCCAAAGCTTGAAATGCCAGAGGTTCCGCTCCATCTGAAGCCGCCACAGCCAGCACTTCTTCACCAGCAAAAGCGCTGGCGTTGCAGGAGACTTCCCACAGCTCAGGGATTCGGACCGCAGAACTGTCATGTCCTGGTTGTGTGTGCACTTCCCAAGCCCAAACCTTGGCCTTGGCCCTTGCAGATCCTGTTTAACACCTCTGCTTAGCTCGGGAAAAGAAAGTCTGGAAGACCATTCCACGGAGCCGTGGTAACCTGTAAGGCACAGAGGCTAAAGCTCCCATCCCGCGCTCTCCGCAACATTCCGGCACTTGTCGACTGAAAGGACCTGGGCAGAGCTGAGGCACGACCCTTCATGGTGTCAAGAGGCTTCTGATTCCGAGCTCTCGGTGAGGTTCTGTCCGTAGTTTGTTTCATTTGCAAGAGTTGTCTCGCTGATTTGACAGGCTTGCTTCGGACACTTATGTTGAAGCGCCGAAAGAAGCGCCGAAATAGTGTTTCGACACGGAGCTGCTCGATGTGTGGGACGCACTTCCGCAGTTTCGAGCACATGCCGGGCCCTCCTCAATCAAATGAGTTGCAGACAATTTTATCACGCACTCCTGCTGCAGCAGCTTGTGCGCCCCCGAGCAGTTGTGGAACCCCAGGAATCATTTCAGGGACTTGGTTGGAGGCTCAAAGCAACCATTCCAGCGCCTAAAGGGGCCGTGTGCTGAAAGGGAATAGCCTCGGTCTGCAAAACACGAGTGCCCAAACCTGGAACATCCTGGAACTGTCTCACATCATTTTGGTCGGTCATGAAAGACAACCCATTGTCATAGACAGCAAGTATGAGGGGACTCCATGACAGGTCGTTATGGAGACCAAATTCCGTAGGGGGTTCTCGTGGTGCTGTGTCGAGATCTTGCTTAAGACCGAAGCACAGAGGCATCGAAACACGCCGTCAGGAAGCCACCCAGACAGCGATCGAAGCTGCGAAGATCTACCGTGAGAAAGGGAACTTGGAAGGCCTGCAAGGAGAGCTGTTGGCCATGGTTGGAGTTATACGTTGCAAATCATTACATACTTACATATTACTAACTGTCAGTTACGTTAGTTATATACAATATGTACTGTATGATATAGTATGTTGTATTATTTGTGTGTGTGTGTATATATATATATGGAGGTGGCGACAAGATGACATAGGTCAGCATTTCCGTGCTTAAGTTGTTTGAGGCTTGCTTTGCTCATTGCTTGCTGTTGTGCAACGAATTCAAGGATGAAGCTTCTGAGCTTCATGAAAAGGGTTCTGAGCATGTGCAGGCGGTAGTTTTCGGGGCGGAGGGCGGGGGCAGCGCAGTAAACACGGGGCTTGTGATGCAACATCTCAAAGCATTTCCACGGGGCAGCACCTACACTGGAGGCCTAATTAGGGTTTATCGGCAAGGGCACCCCAAGCATTCAGGGACTCTAAGCCTTTCACCCCATCAGCCCTAAACCCTAAACAGTGCTTCGTTCGCCGTGCCAGCCTTGTGCGAGTGTGTGAGTCGAAACCCTAAACCCTAAACCCTAAACAGTCTCAGGTGAGGCAACCGCCTTACTGGTGAAGTCTGCTGCTTTTCTCGGTCGCGACAACATGGCCGCACTCCAGGCTTGGCGAGACTTAGGTTTTAGGGGTTTTAGGGGTTTAGGGTTTAGGCTGTTTATATTATTGTGTAGAGAGTATCAGCTATAGGTCGAGACTTGCGCTGTCATGGGCTTCGGCTGAGTCGTAAACCCAATACTTCCAGGCTTGGGGACATCGTATCTCCCTACGCGTGCAGTCAACAGTAGCTGGATGATGTGAGGGCGCTGGTTGAGAAGAAGCTTAGTCGAATGTGCTGGATACATCATCCATAAAGGACGGAGAAGGTAGTTGTGGAGACCTCGTCCTGTTCTCCTAGCCACATCTTCATGTGATCATGTCGCTCTACCCAAACACTCGTGTTTAATGCCCTGCAACCTTGCGCCGGCTACAGCGAAACAGCGAAACCCTTGCCCGTGTCCGTTGAAAAGCCAACAGGCCGCCAGCCATGCCTTGAAACTCTTCAAGGAGCTTGGCCACATGGTGGGCCAGACTGCTGCACTGCATGGCCTGGCCAAGGTGACCCGGTTAGGGAGGTGCTTGAGTAAGGTCTTTCAAGAACCGGCATGATCAGCATTCTGGGTACAGGCTTCGAGTTGTTACCTTTCTTGCAGATTTTGGTTGTATATCTGAGTCTGCCAGGCTCAAACCTAACTTTATTCCGATGTTGCTTGCAGACTGTCGGGTGAATCACTCGGTTTTGTCCGCCTTGATTCGCCGAGAAGTCCCTGAGCTCAACAGCCGTAGCCGACAGGCCCAGCTGGCCAAGCGCAGCACAGACGAGGCGCTTAGCCGCGCAGCAGAAGCTCTGAGGCGTGGAGGAAATCAGGGGTGAAAGGCTTTATTGTGCTAAGGGACATCAGGTTTTGAGGCTTTGATTTTTGCGATGGGGTGTGGTGTGGTACAGCGATGGACGAAAGTCCCAGGGTTCCGCACACTTCCGAAATCATTGTAGAGACCCAGCATGAATTGGACGGGATTTTGAACGGCAGCTCTGAACCCTGACAGCGCAGCCTGCAAGCGATGCGTATAGGCCTCCCGATGCCAGGCTCTGCCGCTTGCTTGGAGACCGTTTGAGTGAGGTGCCGGCCACTGGGGAAGTCGGGCGTGAACCGACGGGTCATAACTCTTCCGGTTCAAGTTTTCGGAGTATGAGGCTTTATACGTGTTTGCTTTCAAAAAGTCCCTAAACCCATAAACCCTAACCCGAAAGCCCACTCTAACTAGTAAGGCCCCTGTTAACGGTAGAGGCGCAGCTCGTTGTAACGGCCGCCTCGGCTGCCTTGGCCTCCGGTGCAGCGAGCAAGGCACTTTCTTTTCTTTTGCAATAAGGCAATAAGGCTTGTTTTCTCTGTCAGAGGGCGGGGATGGGTGTGCTGGAATTTAGGACTTCGGGATGCTAGAAGCAATGATTGGTCGCTGCTGCAAGCTTTGCAGCTTGGCCCTGAAATGCTGCACCTGCAGCAGACGTGGAAAGATGCCCAGTTTTGGCATCGTGTCGGGTTCCACTGCAGCTACAGCAAGACAACATCAGTAAGCATGTAGAAAGCACCGCGAATCCTCATGCTGGGCGAAACGACAGATCGTGGGTTTGCATGCACAGTTCCAGGAAAAGGTATGTATTGATTAAGCGTTCTAACATGTGTTAGTGATTTGTTTATTCGTTTTGATTTTTACAGATACATACATACATACATACGTACATACATACATACATACATACATACGTACACACGCACATTCACACACACACATATATATATATATATATGACACACGTATAAATATAATTACCTATATTATACACACACATATATATATATACATTGTGTGTGTGCGCATGTTATAAGCAAGCAAGCAAGCAAGCAAGCAAGCAAGCAAGCAAGCAGGCAAGCAGGCAAGCAGGCAAGCAGGCAAGCAGGCAAGCAGGCAAGCAGGCAAGCAAACAAGCACACACATTATGTGTGTGGGCGTGTGTTGGTGGGCTATATATTCCATTATTACATGCATGCGTACCTCAGTGCCTACCTAGCCACCTACCCACCTACCTACCTTCCCACCTTCCTTCCTACCTACCTACCTACCTACCTACCTTACCCCCTAGCCATAATCCTGCTGAGAAGCTCCTTAGTGGATGGAGGCTCTGGGGTTCTTGGAGAACGCAGTGGCCACAGCCCGTGTTTTGGAGGATCGGCTCTTGGAGGCCAGGGCAGCTGTTCGGCGGTGATGTTGACATGCTGGGTATGGGAGGGGTGTGCACGTAAAAAGGGGTGAGTGGGTTAAGAGCCCGAGCGAGAGAGGGGGATCCGAATGTGCACGCTTGCGCAGCGAGTCCAAACCTTAAGGGTTCCGTCCAGGCGTTCCGAATAAGAAGAAAAGGACATAGACACAGGCATTGTGACGGAGGCTTGTGTTCGCATGCATCGCATCAGTCATGTTGGTTGCCGATTCTCGGCTGATTCCGGATTTGAGCCTGGGTTCAAGAGGCTTGTGTTCGTGATTCCGACCGGGCTAGGACTTGTGTTCCGATGCCGTACGTTACGTGCCGTTACAGTTGCCATGCTGTGGAGGACATGCGACGGGGCATGCTGCAGAAATACGATGCCGAGAAAGTAAGCAAAGAGTAGACAGCTTCATTTTGCAGCTTAGAGCCGTTTAGTCATCACGTATTTTTGCCTGCACTACAGCCTAACATCAGGGCCGCTTCCTGAACTTTCGAGCAACTCCCTGCTTCTCCTGAGCCCTGGGCCCGAACCTCGTTTTGGCGCCGTGCATGATAAGGCCGATCTCCTGTGCTTGGTTGCAAAGGCCGGGGGGACCCGGTTTTGGGTTTTGGGTTTCTGGGGTTCAGGCTTGTCGACATGCAGCCAGAGCAGGGAAGGCGACTGAGTCGCTGTGATATAGGGGCCTTAAGAAGTGGAATAGGATTTGGGAGCAACTTGTTGGTATGGACGGTATAGTTCTACTACAGAACCCTAGGCAAAATGTAGTTATTCAGGCTTCCATGTCATGTTACGCTACCTTCCGGGAGTGGGGCTCCTCGACCTAAGAAGTCTGAGATACTGGTAGCAGCCGAAAGAGCAGATTCCCGACGGGGCAGGTTGTGGGCCAGGATTTCAAAGTGGAGAGAATCGCGGATCTTAGGCCAAAGGCCCCGGATGTGCAACTGATAACTGGGTGCAGGAGAGGCGGTTGCCGGTGGTCCCTTTCCCCGGCATGCACTCGCTTGCCTCAAGTATTGTACCGGCCAACGTCCAGAACCCAAATCCGAGGCTTTGATACTTGAAAGCCGTAAGGCTCAGGAATTTCATTTTCAGGGGCGGGCAAACAGAGCACACATACATATATATATATACACACAATTATATTTACAGATTACTCTATATTACAATATGTTTGTATACAAAGTACACATCTACCGGCCCCGAGCCATTCAAGAGCAATGCACGAAACCCCTTGGCTGGCAAGCTCCCTAAACCCCTAAACCCT